AAAATAATTTAAGGAAATTAATATCAACTTATAATAGCATACAAAAAGAGAATTTTTTTTTATAGTAATTATACTAGTATAGTACCCGTGCAATTGCACGGTATAATAAGCTCATATGTATAATTTACTTATCAAAATAAATTGAAATAATAATAGTCAAGTAGAAATCAAAAGTTACGCTCTAACATATATTGCTCCTTGTTAGAAATATCATATTTAACGTTGGTATTTACATAATTATTCTACTATTATTTTATCAATTAAATTATTTATAGACTTAAATTAAGGATGACAAGTGGATATAAAAATGTTAGTCCCCACACCGTACCCACCCGAGATGGAGCAAATATGGGTCCAACTTTGACGTGTAAGTAGGCAGGTATGAGTACATGACTCATACCCGCCATGGGTAACAGGTAAGCGGTGGATTTGATGTCATACCCGTTTATTACATACCCACCTACCTGCTCAATTACCTGCTAACTTATTACTATCACAAATTTTTTATGTAATTTCTTTTGTATTTGTAATGGCGAAGGACGACTACTTTTTATACAAATAAATTGCTACTTATTACTTGTATAATATATTATTAAATTATACTATTATTTTATCTATTAAATTATTTATAGACTTAAAATTAGGGATAATAAGTGGATATAAAAATGTTAGTCCTGCACCGCACCTGCTCTAGATGGAGCGGATATGGGTCCAACTTTGGTGGGCAAGTAGGCATGTATGAGTATATATAAGTCATACCCACCGTGGGTAACGGGTAAGCGGTGGATTTGATGTCATACATACTCGTCTATAACTCGCTTAGTCGCTCAATTACCTGCCAACTTATTACTATCACTAATTTTCTTATGTAATTCTTTTTGTATTTGTAATGATGAAGGACTACTTTTTATACAAATAAATTGACTACTTATTACTTGTATAACATATTATTAAATTATCTATTTACAACAATTTAGATAGCATAATGACATTTTATAAGTAATTAATAAACAAATGTAATATTATAAAACTTTATATGCATGATCTTTCATAATAATACTCATAGTAGTAATTCTAGAATTTTCAAAGTATATATGGAGAATACATTATTCCAAATATATGATTTATTCTAAATATGTAGTCAGCATATATGTAGGTGTATAAATAATTATGTTGATATTGCCAAGGCAAAAAATCCACATCCAAGGCCAAATTATCTACTCCTACCCAATATTTATGAGAATCTATATATTTCAAACTTAATAATAATTCAATAAAATATTTTGCAATCTTTTGATAATCTTTTATTGCCAATAATCTTTTGTAATATTCTATTAACTATAATTTAAAGGGGGATTTTTTTGTATGGCTGGCCACACCGTATGGCCGGGGTTACTCGAGTTACTCGCTCAAGGGTTACTCGAGTTGTCAGGGTTACTCAAGTTACTCGGTCATGGGTTACTCGAGTTACTACTGACCGAGAAGTAACCCCATGACAAAGTAACCCTTTGAGTAACCCTTAATCGAGTAACCCCTGACTGAATAACCCCTAACCGAGTAACCTCTAACCGAACCCTCAAATAACCCCTGATCGAATAACCCTTGACTGAGTAAACCCCTGACCAACCCCTTACGTAACTTCTGACCGAGTAACTCGAGTAACCCATGACCGAACCCCTTTAATAACCCCAGATCGAGTAACTCAAATAACCCTGACCGTAAGTTTCGTATACTATATTATACTAGTTTAACAACAACTCGTCATACATATATATAATAAGATATAGACGTAAGTTTTATATGATAGTGGAATTTGCCAAGTATAGAACCCGTACAAATTTTTTATTGAAGTATCAAAATTAGGCAAAATTGAGTATTAAATATTGGAGTATCAAGGAATTACCTTGATATTATTTTCCTTGCATATCACAGCCATAATGTATGCATATTATGTCTTTTGATCATGCAAATATTTTGTTATCTTCTATTATTCTACATTATCTTTTTTCAATATCTTGTTAAAGATATTACTTTATCAGGTATATTTCATTCTTTATTGATATATAGTGGAAATATATTGTGAAATTTTCTGCTCTTAAGGTTAATGAAAATATTATCTCCAGAGGATCAATAAAATTTATATTGTTTTTGACAAAAAATATTATATAAGATCAACCAATAATATTTTAGTATATATATATAGATTGATATATATATATATATTTTTAATATTATACGTAATATTTATAGGAAATAGAAGGTCTTAGATTATTTAGTGAATATTTTGCATTCATCAGGATAGCGGGAAAATTTTGCTTGTGAAAGTGACATGTGGAGCTATTTTTTATAGTGCCCTCTGTTTAATTATAGTTATAGATAGATGTGTAGTTTTCAATTTAGTAGTATAAAAATCATATAATACGAATATATCTATAAGATAGTCGTATAATGAATTATGTGTAGTTTTGAGAATGGGGAGGTCTTTCATATCATGGTTAATTTACCAAAGATATATAATTGCGCAAGTAACTCAATAATTTAATTTTTTTTTTTAAAAATAAAAATAAAAATAAAGAATACATATTTGATTTAGTTAGTGTAAAGAATATTCTAACTACTACAATAATGAATAAATGATCTTATTTAAAGTAAGGAAGGAATTATTTCAATCACAAAATTGTGCATGATATAACCAAATTATATGCGTGCAGTGATTTTTTTTTTTTTTGATAAATAATATTGATTTGGTTAAGTTAAAGTAAATGATATTCTAGTTCTAGACTTGTAGCTACTATATACTGCATAGGATCAATAAAATCTAATATATATATATATATAAATAAAGTAGACATTTTTAGAGAGCATTTGAAGCGCCACATAAGCAAAGGTATATTTTCAACAAATTAAAAATTAGATTTCCAAATTATTTTAAAAATAAAATTATTATATTTTCACATTAAAAATTTTATCCTAATATGTAATCAATGAAATATCATATTTACATTTTTTTTTAAAGATGTCATATTATTGTCATATAACTAACAACAACGAATAAAATACAAAACAACAATAAATTAAGTCGCATTATAAATTACATTAAAAAAAAGTATACTTTTGTAATTGCTAATATCATAATTAAATTATTAGTTTTTTATTTATTTTTGTCTGAAATTATTAAATTTTAAAATAAATCAAATAATTATAATTAAAAAAAAAAACCTTAGAGTATACAGGAAAATATCTTTTCTTGAGATATATATATGAAAAATGATCGCACGGGCTTTCATCTAGTAATGGAAGACATGTAATCTCGCCGCCATTCGAATAATTCCCTGCTCCACAACATCCTACATCTATTACCTCAATCCCTGAAAATAAAACATACACACCAAATTAAAACATTTAATTGATCCAATATTCTAGTGATGTGTATTCCCTTCGCGTTTTAATAAGTGTTATACTTCGATCGGCATATAGTGTTAGGCTATGTAATTGACTTATTAAATAAAATAAGAGGTAAGTAAAGTAGTTGGAGTATTAAAAAATTGTAAAAGAAAGACAGTGAGGTTAATAGTTTATTGAAAAGTAATGAATATGAGAGAAAAGAAATAAAAAAAAATAGTAATGGATTTGGGTGGGACTATAAAAGAAAAAGAATGTAATATTAAAAATAAAAAATAAAATAGTGCAACACTAATTAATTGGTGAGGAACTCACCTTGTAACTTTGAGGTTATAAGTTCGAATCCTCCCAACTGCGGTACTTAGAAGTGAGGATCCCTCACCCTTCTCTCTCACTTTCAAGTACCTACTCGCAAATAGTGGACCAAAAAAACCGTGAGGGTTAAGGCAAAATTACATAAGAAAAAGAATATATACCGTAAAATTGCCCGTTAGATTCGAAATCGGTACATTCTCCAAAATAATCCAAGTAGACAAATTTGGCTCCAGGCAAACGACCATTGTTAAAAGTATCAACCAGGTTTCGAAGGCCTGACATTGAAGAGGCCGACACCAAACCGTTAATAAAGTGCAACCCGTCTGCACCAAATCGTTTACTACCCGGATTGTTTACAACCTGAACCGAATTTAAACCGCTCAAGAATAAACCGAAACCGAATCGAACCAATAATTATTTAAACTGAACTGAAACCAAACCGTAAGACACTTGAACGATTTCAATCCGACCTAATTTCAAGCCGAACCGATTTCAGACCGAATTGAAACCAAACTGTCAAACCATTTTGACGGTACTAGTCATACCTCATCGATTTTGCTATGTCGTCCATCAGGTCCTGATGGTGCAGTCAAAAGTTGTTGTGTTGTGCATTGTCACAACTCCTAAGGTTAGATGCCTCTTATCCGGTCTAAAATCATATGCATAATGACTTTATGTTTAACTTATAATGTAAATGATCATTTTTAAGTTGCACATGTAGTTCTTTCTAGTTCTGTTATGACTAAGATGAGAACTACAGTATAAAATTGAAACTTCAAAAAACTTTGGCTTTGGTTTGTGAATTCTTTTGAACTACTTGTTTCTATATTAGTGAGCCTTGCGTTAATGATAGAATAAAAAAGTTAGTTGGTTTACTTTGATGGAAAGGAGGTGACTTGGTGAATGAATAAACGGGCAGGATACAAATCGGATGCTGCAAAACTTATCTTGTGCTTAATTTATAATTAGGCTTATAATCCAACTTTGATCATAATTTTCCTAAATTCCAACTCAATTTTATTTTTCTTTCTAAACAAAGCACTATTAAAATATATACATGTGTAAAGTTAAGTTGAACTATTAAATACATATTATAAAATCAGAGATGTTTAAGATATTATTCTCAATATTCTTTCTCAAGCTAAGCTATATATTGTAATACAAATTGAATGTTTCAATTTTCCTTTCATCCATTATTCTCAAGCTATTGTAATACAAATTGAATGTTTCACATATTCCTTTCATGCATTATTCTCAGGCTACTGTAATACGAAGTAAATGTTTCAAAGGTTCCTTTCATCATTCTTGGCCTTCCATAGTGTAAGGTTATCCCTCAAAAGATTCAGGATAACCTTGCTGTCTTTCGAGGAAGCCTTGCCGCCTAAATCATCCAACTCTAACATAGCCACTTCAAAAGCTTCCTTCGCCAACTGATATGCCCTAAAATATAAAAAATACGTACAAGTAAGTAACAATGCAATTATAACAAACATGACCATAGAGAAATTGTAAAATTGAAGTAAATTTATTATAAAATTTAATGCCAAGCCTAAACGTGTTGGATGTATAGGTGAAAATTGAACCATTGTTATGGCCATTGCTTCCTGATATACAAAATAATATTAACCACAAAGTTAATGACAAACACTTTTAACTTCAATTAAAACGGCACTTAGAAATATAGCAAATTAAAATTCATGAATTTAACTAAGTATACACAAAAAATTGCAAGAACAAAAAATAGAGTAATAGAAATAGAATTGAGCATTTATATATTTACCTTATATGTTTTTAAAGACTCTTCCGCCACTAATGATTTTGCATCACCAGTTTTGATTTCGGCCATATATCGGTAATGATCTGCTTTCCTGCATCACATAGCTCTCCGTTAATTAAACAAACCAACTCTTAACTTACAGAAATAATGATTAAAGATATTAAAGAACAATAATACGGATGATAATCTTTAAAAAAAAAAATTTAAGATCAATCAATTGCTAAAAAGACTTAATTAAGTTTAATACGAAGCAATATACAATTAAAATACTTTTAAAAAATTTATACTCACATCTTTAAGTAAAAGACGGAGGATTCAGCGCAAGACGCGAAAGGAAGGAGATGATCATCAATTAGAATTATAACGTCGTAGCAAATGTTAGCAAGGTCCAACTCAACTATATTACGATAATCTTGAATACACTTTATGTACGTCTCATTTTTGTAGATTGTATCTTCCTTCTGTTTAGTTGTTGAGAGACGTTTCCATGATTCTCTCTTTGGCTCGGTAACTTTCTTGTACGCTGTTGAAAGGAGATTACGCTCTTCAGCAGTTAAATCGATGTTATTCTTCACCAATTTCTTCATTGCATCGATCATATCTACAAAATTTAAGATATGAAATCATTAGTTATATCTTAATAGTTTCATGCTTTGACAACGTAACGCATAACTTACTATACGTGGTAGAGTATTATATCATAAATATCTTAAAACAACAATAATATTTTTAATTTAGTATGTAAAAGTGATATAAAGTTTTAATTGAGATGTATTAACAAGATTACACTTAATAAATTAATAATATTATTTTCTTAACACACAAAAAATAGTCAAAGATAATGTAATATTGGTAGAACTTTGTGTTTTTGCAAAGAACGTAGAAGTAAATCAGAAGGAACTCAAATCCAAACTAAAATTGAAGCTTTTGGGAGTTGAAACTCCTACGTGAAAGAATTGAAAGTGATGAGGAAGAACATACCATCATAGCGTTCGGCTAGGGCGGCTAGCTTAGCGAGGTAGATGATGTTGTAACGTTCGCTCGAAGAAGCCATGAGAGGATCGGAGAGATCAAGACTCGAGAGAATTAGCTACTCGTGAAGGTTGTGGGAGGGGTTGAATATTTAGAGGTAGTGTATGAGGAAGAATTGAAAAGTGAAAGAAAGTTGAATATATAGCTATTTTTTCGTACAAAAATAATCTTGATTATTTACTTATCTTAGGAAAGTAGTCTATGTCTAATAAGTTAGAGATTGTGTTACTTGTACTCTTGTAGGATACGTAGTCTTGTTGATTAGGTCTTGTAGTTTGTAAGTTAATCCTAAATATCTACGAGTATTATTTTTATTTAGGAAACATGATAAAGCTAGGTTAATATCTAAGATTAACATTCCAAGTTAATCTCCTCTCACAATTTTATATATATCTATTGCTGTGCCACTTTATTATTTCACTTTTATTATTTAGAAAATAAAAGAAAAACAATATTGCTTTGAGAAAAGATATATTTTCATGTTTATTTCAAAGATACAATAAATCTTGTTTACAACGGGTGTACATTAATTTTATTGTAAAACGGTCTGTTTGAGCATTACTTTAACTATTTTTATGGTAACTTTTACCACTTAAAGGGTAACTTTTAATTTATCGTTGGTTTGAATTTATTTTAACGTGTAATTTCTTATAAATTCGTGATTACATACTATAAAAACTAATATGAGTAATCTAATACATTACAAGTTTTTGTAAGATAAAATTTATTAATAGAAAAATAATAACTTTTGCAGGATAAAGGGTAACTTTAAGTACATTTATAATTTTAACTTATTTTACAATAAATTAACGTACACCCGCCTTTTTATAGAATTTGTATCAGCGATAAACTTGGATTTCCCCCTTCAATAGTTCAATGGAATATACGATTTCATTTTTCATTTGAAATTAGTTGACGTATGTATTCTCATAGTACTTTTTGGAAAATTTCCGTTTAGTTGATATGTGTTTATTTTAGGTAAATTTTAATTAGAGCATGTTTGGTACAATGTTTTTAAGAGTTGTAAGTGAAATTAATTAACCGTTTTTATTATCAAAACTATTATCATTACTTAAAGGCCAGATATCCATTACCACCTATTTGTTACCTCTTTTCAGTATTATATATGATAAGATGGATTCAGAATTTAGAATATAAACTAGACCATATCTTGATTTTTAAAAGCTTATTCATAAATTAACCTCATTTTTAGAGTACTACAACAAAGAATAAAAAGAAAAGATTATAAATGGTTTTGAATTCGGAACCAATCATTGAATAGGCTCTAGAGCATGAATGAAACCAACTTAGCCAGAGTATTTTACATTTAGTTTATTGCAGCTTAAATACACCTTTATCCTAGCAATCCATTGAACAAGTATGGGCCTAGATGAGTCCTCTTAATCGAAAGAAACATGTTTTTCTAAATACTTTCACTAAATTTCTTAACCATGCGTAACATAGATTTGATTTAGTAGAAAAATTTACATTTTACAATTAAAGGTAGTAGGATCAAACTCCACTAGAAACACTTTAAGGGGTGAATTCACCTACCTTTCCCTCATTCCCAAAGAACCTAACTTGCTAATTCGAACCAAGTTATTTGTGAGAGATTCAGATCTAATAGTTAGAGAGTCTTTCTCCTTACCTATTCACAAAAACACGTAATATTAATTAATTGTACACTGTCAACCTGTGAATGAAATGCCATCAACGACCCAATGATACACAAATTATCCTGCTAAAAAATCCAACTTCAACGCCCCAAATCTATCCACTACTATCTCTCCATTAACACCAAAAAAACTCAACTCCTCTTCCCCTGCACTTTCCCCGCCAAATCCGCTTCTTTCAAGAGAGAGAAAAACCCAGATTTATCCAACATTATGGCTGCAAATTAAACCCACCCATTTTTTAATCTTTCCATTTCATACCCATTTTCAAAAAGTATGGGCATTTCGTATTTTTAACGAAATCCCATTTTTTTATGATTAAAAATGAATTAATTTCTATTAGAATATTGTACAATTCTGCCTTTTTGGTAGTGGAGTGTGAATTGTGCAGTATGCATCTAACCCTTAACTAATAGATGCTAACTAGCTCTATTGGTTAAAGTATGTGGTTCTCAAGATTTAGGGTTGAACTCCTCTAACATCATTTTCCTTTGCGATTCTCTCTATACCAAATTAGAAAACTAGCCTTTGTTAAGTATTGGATTACTTTTTTGTAGTGGGTTTTATCTCATGTATGAGGGAGAAGCGTTATATGTTTTATGTATTACTATCTTAACCATAATGTATGCATATTATGTCTTTTGATCATGCAAATATTTTGTTATCTTCTGTTATTGTACATTATCTTTTTTCAATATCTTGTCAAAGATATTAGGAAGTATTTTATTACATATATTTCATTCTTTATTGATATATAATGGAAATATATTGTGAAATTTTCTACTTTTAAGGTTAATGAAAATATTTTCTCCAGAGGATCAATAAAATTTATATTGTTTTCGGCAAAAATTATTATATAAGATCAATCAATAATATTTTAGTATATATTTAACTGATATTTTTTTTTTATTTTATACGTAATAAATATAGAAAATAGAAGATCTTAGATTATTTAGTGAATATTTTGCATTCATTAGGATAGCGGGACACGTGGAGCTATTTTTTATAGTGTCCCCTGTTTTATTATAGTTATAGATTATAGATAGATGTGTACTTTTCAGTTTAGTAGTATAAAAATCATATAATATGAATATATCTATAAGATAGTCGTATAATTAATTATGTGTAGTTTTGAGAATGGGGAGGTCTTTCATATCATGGTTAATTTACCAAAAATAGTATAATTGCGCAAGTAACTCAATAATTTTTTTTTTTTTTTAATAAAGAATACATATTTGATTTAGTTAGTGAAAAGAATATTCTAACTACTACAATAATGAATAAATGATCTTATTTAAAGTAGGGAAGGAATTATTTCAATCACAAAATTGTGCATGATATAACCAAATTATATGCGTGCAGTGATTATTTTTTTTGATAAATAATATTGATTTGGTTAAGTTAAAATTTTGCTTTTGAGGGTGACACATGGAGCTAATTTTTCTAGTGCCCTCTATTTTAGTATAGTTATAGATAGATAGATTACTATTTTTAATTTTAAGAAATCAGTCTGACAATCAAATAAAATCTCATATTTATTAGGGTTATTTTTGTTAATAATAAAAAGGGTCTATTGGACCAAAACTTCTCACAGGTCCTCACCACCCGGGTTAGACACTTTGGGAGTGGGGACAAGGGTAAGGAAATCTCCATCCCAAAACACGTGTCTTCAATGGGGTTCGTTTGATCCCACAACCTCTCCCAAACTTTCCCACTAGATCAAGCTTTGCTTGGTGCGAGTATTTGTTAGTTGCAAGCAAGTTGATTAAGGATAATATTGTATCCGATCTTAAAATAATTACCATGATAATCCTCTTAATGAAATTATCTTCTATCCTTGAATTGTTATCTTAGGCGTACAAAATAATGTATCCTACATACATATACAAAACCTTGTAATTTAGAGCATTGCTAGCTGCTTGATGTCAATAGGGTATGCATACGAATGCGAATCGTCGTTGTAAGCCTTCTTAGCAAGTATAATGTGAACCAATTCAGATGGATGAAAGGCATCCCAATACAAGTATTTTTTGCGATCTGCACAAGGAGTCTGGAATGGAAGGCATGTAATCTCGCTGCCATTCGAATAATTCCCTGCTCCACAACATCCTACGTCTATTACTTCAACCCCTGAAAATAAAACATACACACCAAATTAAAACATTTGATTGATCCAATATTCTAGTGATGTGTACTACCTTCGCGTTTTAATAAGTGTTACACTTCAATCGACATATAGTGTTAGACTATGTAATTGATTTAAATTAAATAAAATAAGAGGTAAGTAAAGTAGTTGGAGTATTAAAAAATGGTAAAAGAAAGATACTGAGGTTAATACTTTATTGAAAAGTAATGAATATGAGAGAAAAGAAATAAAAAATAAAAAAAAAATAGTAATGGGATTGGGTGGGGATCATAAAAGAAAAAGAATGTAATATTTATAAAAAAAATAGTGCAACACTAATTAATTGGTGAGGAATTCACCTTGTAACTTTGAGGTCACAAGTTCGAATCCTCCCAACTGCGGTACTTAGGAATGAGGATCCCTCACCCTTCTCCTTCAATTTCAAGTACCTACTCGCAAATAGTGGACTAAAAACACCATGAGGGTTAAGGTCAAATTAAGTAAGAAAAAGAATATATACCGTAAAATTGCCTGTTAGATTCGAAATCGGTGCATTCTCCAAAATAATCCAAGTAGACAAATTTGGCTCCAGGCAAACGACCATTGTTGAAAGTATCAACCAGGTTTCGAAGGCCGACATTGAAGAGGTTGACAAGATTGTTATGATCTTCATTACAAGGTCTTTCTCCTGTCACGTTATCTTTCAATCTATGAATAGGAATGCACCCCATTTTCCCAATTCCTGGTAATACCATCTTCCTAACTCCAAGATTGTACAAAGCCTGCATGTAATATATTTTAATATCAATTGATTAATATATATGTTGAGCAAAACAAGTTATATGCATAGTGAATGCAAAACTAGGTTAGTACTTATGCTAACTATATATGTTGGTGGAATAAGATCAATCTATGTTGTTTTCGCCTTATTTTGGAAATTTGTTGCTTATTCTTACTAGCTCCCAATTTAATTACTTGCACTATTTGCCTATATGTGATGGCCCGCTATTATTTCACTTGCATAAAATCTTGTGCAAATGATTATGGGACAAGTAAATTGAGACAGATGGAGTATTAAAATCAGAACAGGTTTTATTTACACCATAATTTAGACTAGATGATCATGGTTGAGTTAGGCTTAGATCTAATTAAAATTTCAACCCTTGGATCGGTCATATATTCTTGTCAAAATTGCACCGGGCCAGTTTGATCGTCTCAAGCTAG